AATTAAATAAAAATAAAAAAAACACAGGGGTTTAACTAAAGTGTATTGCTATCGAGTCTGAAAACTTTAAGGCCTTGTTGTTCTCCAATAACTTAATCGAGGCATGAAAACTTTTAATATTGTTTTGGAATGCTTGAAAATTTGGAGAAACTTTAAAGAATCTGCACTTGTGGATAAATAATTTTCCCATAATGAAAATAATATTACATAAAAATTCTATACTTTTTTTTATGAAAAGTAATGCCAAATTTAACTCCTTTATATTAAAAATTAGGAATCACATTTTCGTTGATAACCAATCATGCATCTTGCCCCAAAAAGACTTAACCACACAACAATTGTAAAAAAGATGTTCTTGTGTTTCTAAATCTTATACATTAACATCAAATTTTTATCTTAAACTTAAGAATTCTGCACAGGGATATATATTATTTATAGTTTTAAGATGAACTTCTTTCATCTTTGGTAATATAAGAAATGAGAAAAATCTGGTTCTAACCTTAAGAACTTCCATCTCTGAAAACACGTTTAAAGATATGTTCCTCTTAACTGGGAGAGGAAAAATTGTATTGTTTATGTGTTCTCTTATCATTTTGTTATTAAATTTGAGATCCGTAAAATCGTAATTATCTATAAGAAGAGTGGGAAAGATCAGTGTTACATCAGAATATTTAACCATTCCTTTGACCAAATGGTTGCCGGAATTGCCCTAATCAGAGATAGAAATTGTTTCCTTGGACAATCTAAATTATATATTCTTTTAAATACTGTGTAATCCAGAATATCACCCTTTGTGTCCATAAGATGTACAATGGCCCAGATACCCTTTTCCTCCCATTCTCTGTAGTATAGAGATTTTCTCTTATACAAAATGAATTTGTTATTTCAAATAATCATATTATGTGGCATAAAATTGTGCTTGTATAACATTTTCCAATACTTTAGAACTTGTGTGTGGTAGTCTGATAATTTATGGTAATTTGAAAGGATCAAAGTTACATCTTAAGAGACATTTTATTCCTCCAATTTTTTGAAAAAGTTCTGAAGGGAAACTAAACCATAAACTTGTTTCATTTTTAATAAAAGTCTGCAGCCGTTTTAATTTTA